ATTTGCATTTCTCTAATGACCAGTGATGATGAGCTTTTTTTCATATGTTTGTTGGCTGCATAAATGTCTTCTTTTGAGAAGTGTCTGTTCATATCCTTCACCCACTTTTTGATGGGGTTATTTTTTTCTTGTAGATTTGTTTAAGTTCCTTGTAGATTCTGGATATTAGCCCTGTGTCAGATGGATAGAGTGCAAAATTTTTTTCTCATTCTGTAGGTTGCCTGTTCACTCTGATGATGGTCTTTGGCTGTGCAGAAGCTCTTTAGTTTAATCAGATTCCATTTGTCAATTTTGGTTTTTGTTGCCATTGCTTTTGGTGTTTTAGAAACGATGTATTTGCCCATGCCTATGTCCTGAATGGTATTGCCTAGGTTTTCTTCTAGGGTTTTTATGGTTTTAGTCTTACGTTTAAGTCTTTAATCCATCTTGAGTTAATTTTGTATAAGGTGTAAGGAAGGAGTCCAGTTTCAGTTTTCTGCATATGGCTAGCCAGTGTTTCCAACATCGTTTATTAAATAGGGAATCCTTTCCTCATTGCTTGTTTTTGTCAGGTTTGTCAAAGATCAGTTGGTTGTAGATGTGTGATGTTATTTCTGAGGCATCTGTTCTATTCCATTGGTCTGTACATCTGTTTTGGTACCAGTACCATGCTGTTTTGGTTACTGTAGCCTTGTAGTGTAGTTTGAAGTCAGGTAGTGTGATGCCTCCAGCATCACAGCATTGTTTGTTATTTTTGTTAAGGATTGTCTTGGCTATACAGGCTCTTTTTTGGTTCCATATGAAATTTAAAGTAGTTTTTTCTAATTCTGTGAAGAAAGTCAGTGGCAGCTTGATGGGGATAGCATTGAATCTATAAATTATTTTGGGCAGTATGGTCATTTTCACAATATTCATTCTTCCTATCCATGAGCATGGCTTGTTTTTCCATTTGTTTGTGTCCTCTTATTTCCTTGTGCAGTGCTTTGTAGTTCTCCTCGAAGAGGTCCTTCACATTCCTTGTAAGTTGTATTCCTAGGTATTTTATTCTCTTAGTAGCTATTGTGAATGGGAGTTCAGTCATCATTGGCTCTCTATTATTGGTGTATAGGAATGCTTGTGATTTTTGCACATTGATTTTGTATTCTGAGACTTTGCTGAAGTTGCCTATCAGCTTAAGGAGATATTGGGCTGAGACAATGGGGTTTTCTAAATATACAGTCATGTCATCTGCAAACAGAGACAATTTGACTTCCTTTCTACCTATTTGAATGCTCTTTATTTCTTTCTCTTGCCTGATTGCCCTGGCCAGAGCTGCCAGCAGAGCAGCCTGAGTAAAGTTTTCTTAAGGAGCAGGAATGAGGGGAAAGTGAAAGGGAGTTCCTCATGATTGTTACTTCCAACTTAGAATCAGATTAAGAAGAAAGAAGTATATTATATTAAGACCAGGAAGGGAAATATTATCTACAGTCTGACCTTACCTCTCTTTATAATTATAGAGTTGGAGGGAAAAGGAGTATTAAGGAGGAGGAGGAGTTGGTTTTAGGAGTTGAGATAATTGTTTGATTGGTATGTATATACTTTTAGCCATCAGTTTCCATTTTCACACTTTATCCTTCATGATTAAGAATCCATTATTGTCCTTGAAAAGCTCTCATTTCAGTGTCTGCAGGGGCTATTTGTTGGCAGTTCTACAGAATAAAGACTGTGTGAAGATATGTCTCATCATTTGGACCATCTTAGATGCAAAAGAATGAGGCCCATGAGACCCACCTTAAAAGCATTTGAATATTTTACTTATAATACACACTTAACACATTTACACACATATGTACCCAAGAACAAAGCAATACTTAGCCCAGTGGAATGCTAATAGGTGACAGTCGCTTTGAATAGGACTTTATTAAAATGTGTTTACACGTAAATAATTATGTGAACTGTAAACTGTTCTATTTTAGACTCTAGAATATTTCTTATGAATTAATTTTTTTTCCCTCACACAGAACTGGCTAGATCCTGCTAAAGAAATAAAGAGACAACTGAGAAGTAAGTATTTAAATAATCATTCTTTGAAGTTAAGGTATCTTGATACCTATTTGTGATATAAATGATCAATAATAGAATGGTCAGTTCTATTTTGCATTTATGCCATCTTAGAAGTTAATAATACTAATAATATTTTTGTGGAATTGTGACTGTTTTGTACATGGCTCGGGGGCTCCAAATTTTGAGAAGGTTCTAGACTCACATTCCTAAATATTCACTCAGAATATCCTACCAAGTAACATCTGACCTTTTTTTTTTCTGGGAAAGAGAGAGAAGCTACTTTTCTGTAAATTTTACTCCAATGCGACCTGATACTTATGCTTTGCTTCATTTTGAAAGTGTATAATTGGTTCAATATGCACATCTTTGGTCACAGAGACATATAGAGACACTGTTCCTAGTACTAGAATGAG